TCCTTCCTTTAGTTTATTTTCTTTATAAAATGTTCCCTCTCTCCCCCTCTTTCTATCTTTTTTTTTCTTTTTCTATCTCTAGTTTGGTTTTTCTGGTAAAGTTTATGCTACAGAGCCAACCAAACAATTGGGAAGGTACTAGTAACACTTACATGTATATGCTTGTTAAAGTTGCTCTAAAGGCCCTTGTATTATTATGGGCTATATAATAGTCCATGCTTTTTCAAAATTTACTTGTTAAAATGGCCATAACTTCAAAAATTCAATTCGGAATCAACTCAAACTTTCTACATAGCATAAGGACATCAATATGTATCAGAAAATGTAATAAAAATTGGGGGTGATTTTGGAGCCATTTTTTGGAAAAAAGCATGGGCTATAGTACAGGGTGCTTTTAAGAATTTTGGCATTTTCTTAAAACAGCTGTAACTTCAAAAATTGAAGTCAGAATCAGCTCAAACTTTCTACACAGCATAAGGACGTCATTATGCATCAGAAAATGTAATAAAAATTTGGCATGATTTTGGAGCCATTTTTTGAAAAAACCATGGGCTATATAGTACAGGGAATTTTTCTGAAATTTAAAGTTTTTAAAAAATGGTTATAACTTGAAAAATTGAAGTCGGAATCAGCTCAAACTTTCTACACAGCATAAGGACATCATTATGCATCAGAAAATGTAATAAAAATTTGGTGTGATTTCGGATCCATTTTTTTGAAAAAACCATGGGCTATAGTACAGCGAATTTTTCTGAAATTTAAAGTTTTTAAAAAAATTGGTTATAACTTGAAAAATTGAAGTCGGAATCAGCTCAAACTTCTACACAGCATAAGGACATCAATATGTATCAAAAAATGTAATAAAAATGGGGGGGGGTGATTTCAGAGCCATTTTTCCGAAGAAACCATGGGCTATAGTATAGGGTATTTTTCAGAATTTTGGCATTTTCTTAAAATGGCCGTAACTTCAAAAATTTAAATCCAAATTAGCTCAAACTTTCTACACAGCATAAGGACATCAATATGTATCAAAAAATGTAATAAAAATTTGGCGTGATTTCGGAGCCATTTTTTGGAAAAAAGCATGGGCTATAGTACAGGGTACTTTTAAGAATTTTGGCATTTTGTTAAAATGGCTGTAGCTTGAAAAATTGAAGTTGGAATCAGCTCAAATTTTCTACACAGCATAAGAACATCAATATGTATCAAAAAATGTAATAAAAATTGGGGGTGATTTTGGAGCCATTTTTTGAAAAAAACCATGGGCTATAGTACAGAGTGCTTTTAAGAATTTTGGCATTTTTTTAAAAACAGCTGTAACTTGAAAAATTGAAGTCAGAATCAGCTCAAACTTTCTACACAGCATAAGGACATCAATATGTATCAGAAAGTACATTAAAAATTTGGGGTGATTTCGGAGCCATTTTTTGAAAAAAACCATGGGTTATAGTACAGGGATTTTTCCAGAATTTTGGCATTTTTTAAAAACAGCTGTATGCTACACTGTAGGCAGTTAATGGAGGAATTATGTGCATTTCTGTATCGCTCACCCACACCATCAAAAAATTGGAGAGATGAATCAATACTACAGTGAGCTCTCAATCAACATGTGATATAATCATGTGACGTTGTTTTTAGATCGTTGCCCGAGTGTGCCGTTAAAAGCCTAACTGATGTTAATTCTTGGAAATCTTTTTATAAGCAAGTTATATTATTTTGCA